CTCTCTTTGTTTATTTTAACTATTTGAATGCTGTCTTCTTCTTTTGTCGACTGCCAGCCACTTGCTTCCGTGCTTATTTCCTGGAAAAATATGTTGCATTTGACTGGCTATTCTCCAAGATGGGGCTGGCCTCTTAGAGAAGCATGGGAACCTTCCAGCAAAGAACTGGAGCAGACAGAACAGTGTGTGGTACACAGCCTGCCCTGTGTCCTTTCCTAGTGGTCCTGAATAATAATAATAATAATAATAATAATAATAATAATAATAATTTATTATTTATACACCACCCATCTGGCTGGGTTTCCCCAGCCACTCTGGGAAGTTTCAAACAAAAGATTAAAAATACATTAAAAGAACTTAACGGTAGAAGGGTAGGACAACTACAAAGCTTGTACTGGATAAAGCTTTGGCTCCAGGATCTGTTGCCTGTTTGAACCCCCCCAGTTAAATATAAAAGTTTGGGCAGATTCACTAGTCCCTATGATTCCTACCACTGTATTCATGTTTGTGCTTTATTTCCTGACTGAGTGCAGGAAATTCAGTTTAACTGAATTTTCTATTAATAATTCACTCATTCTCCTTAGAACCAACCACAGCTGCACTTTCATAAATGCTTAATTCCTTGATAATGTGCTACATATCTCAACGCCATATGCTTTGTGATTCGATGTGCAGCCTGTGGGTGAGATCATAGTTTTTTTAGTTTGTGTCTGTGGTACATTGCACTAGTCTTGATTGTGGTGGCTGGTTGGCCATGACTTGATGTCAGTTGTGGGGTGTATCTGCTTGAGTTAGAAGTCATCTCTTGAAGCTACAGACAGAAACCCTTGGTCTTGATCTGACAGCTCTGGTCCATGACATGTTGATATAGGAGGCTAGGTCAACAGTGAATACATTTTTATTCTGTAGAATCTTTCACTCTCCATCATGTTAAACCAGATATTTTCAAAGTATGCCCAGTGAATGTTGGTACTATCTTTTCCAAAGTTTCCATCCCACTTCCATAATGGAGCATTATGGCAACAGTGTTTGGGGATGCAAGGGGGATGTTAGACATTAATTGATGGTAGAATTTTGATAATATTAGGGGTATTGAGGGGAGAGAGATTTTGTGCTGGTCATCAGGCAATGGCTTTTTCCACCTGTCTTGCCCTACGAGCCTTTCCCAGACCATGACTTCAGGAACAGCAGAAGCAGCTGGGAAGGGAAAAGAGGAGTTCAGGGATATTTGTTTTATAAAATAATTTTATAAGTTGTGTGTCTCTGCTTCTCAGTTTTTATTGTGCTATTTTATGCACTGTGATCTGCTGTTATTTTTATTGATTATAGTTTAGAAATCTTTTATTGTAATTGTTAAGAATGAATTTCTGTTTAATTACTATTTGCTGATATTTGATTGTATTGTGTACTGTTACATTCTAATGAATTATTGAAAATTACTTTATTTGATATAAGTTTTTTATTTTAAAGTTAGGTTTTTTATCATGCCATTTTTGTATTGGATCAGATTGTAATAAAGTGTGTGATATTTGTTGTTTCTTCATTTTTTGTATAGTAAAATAGAAAGGTAATATACAAATTAAAAGTGAAATTGAAAAAAAAGTGAAATGGAGATACCAGATGCTAGATTTAAAATGAAGGCTAAACCAGAAAATTGCTTGGGTGTAATTATGGCCAGCCATTGACCTTCTGCCTGAGTTCTGGGTAAATAGGAGAGTTGGGAATGGGAGGTTACAGAAGGCACAATGCTACACTGGAAAAAAATAGTTCTTTCAAAATTTGGAATTTAGGGAAGAAGAGGGGAAACTTGATGAGCTATTGTGAAGGCTAGAACCAACTTAGTGGGCTGGCTGGAGGCAGGCTGGGAGAGAGGCATGGAGATGTCTGATAATCCAGTGCTGGACTGCTGTGAAGGATGAATGCTGTGAAATCTCTCTCCACTGAATGCTTCTAGTGTAAATATGTGTAAATGAATCATTAACACTTTGATTCATTGAGCTCTGAGCTCTGGTGTGACCACTTACTCCTGGCAATCCCCACCTAGAGTCAAGCATCGTCTTCGTTGATGATCCCTAACTCTTCACTTGGAAATCTCCCTCCCAGTTGCTACCCTAGTTTTTTTTTTTGCTAGTGCTACTCTCTTTCTACTTGGTCTTGCACCTCTAAACTCAGTGTGATTTGAGGAAAGCAATTCTGCTGGCAAATATTCAGTCTGACTGACTTGGAATTTCTCCTGTGGGTACTCCCGTCCCCAAAGTAAAGAATCACTGTGGCTTGGGAATACCTCTTCTTTGTTCCTTACTTTGGATTTGCCTTATTGCTGATGACTCTAGCGCCACCTCCTTTTGATGTCTTTTCAGGCAGATCATTGGGCAAGCTCATCAATAACTTGTTCATCTTCCATTTGTTAGTTTCTGTTTGCCACTGAGCAGCTGCTTGGAGTCACAGGACTCTTGTTTACATTCCAGACACCTTCCAGACTGTTGGAAGTCTCACGGGAGCGGAGACGGGATGTGACGTTAGTGGTTTCCTGTTCCCTTGTTCCTTTGTTTCAGTTGCTCTCTGTTCTCATAAATAGAGGATGTATTTTTCTTTGCTTTCTGCGTAGCTTAGTAATAAAACATAGCATGTAGCCATAAATCTCATCACTTCTGCTGCTCTGAAACTCTGCTGAATGGGGGAACGTGCCTGAGGCCTTATCAAAGGCTCAGGCCGTTAATTATTTGTCGGAGGGTGATTCCGAAGGACTTGACCGGAAGATGAGCTTTATCAGCTTGGCCGAATGGAGATTCCGACACCATTCACCTGATCTCTTCTCTTGCTCTTTCCAGTTCCCACCACTCTCAGGGGTTCTTCTTAATGCAAATGGCATCCATCTCTGTTTGTGGCATTTGCTGGCCCAGAATACCAGTGCTCAAGTCAGCTTTGACCACTGTAGACTAAATTCATTCCTTTGAATGCTAAAATCTCTCAGCTAGCTGCCACCTTGTATCCTTTTATTCACATCTCTCCCACTTCCTTTTTTATTTTATTTTTTTCGCTTCAACCAAAAAGATCTCAGGATAGTACACATTTCTATATGTTTGGGAAAGTTATTTGTACATGCTGCTCTATGGCTTCTACTTAGATGGCCATAAAGAAAATTTGCATGATGATTTCTGTTATCAAGGAGCAGGTTTTCATTTATGTTTTGATACAACTGGACAGCATTTTGAATCAAGATGGCAGACTGAATTTTTCAAAACTACACTTCTTTTGTTTTTTAATAATGATAATAATAATAATTTATTATTTATACCCCGTCCATCTGGCTGAGTTTCTCCAGCCACCCTGGGCAGCTCCCAATCAAATGTTAAAAACAGTACAGCATTAAAAATTTAAAACTTCCCTGAACAGGGCTGCCTTCAGATGTCTTTTAAAGATAGGATAGCTGTTTTTTTCCTTCACATCTGGCAGGAGGGTGTTCCACAGGGTGGGTACCACTACCGAGAAGGCCCTCTGTCTGGTTCCCTGTAACCTCACTTCTTGCAATGAGGGAACCACCAGAAGGCCCTCAGCGCTGGATCTCAGTGTCCGGGCTGAACGATGAGGGTGGAGACGCTCCTTAAGGTATACAGTGTTCCTGAGCAATGCCAGGAATGAGACTGCTGGTAATACCATAAAATAACAAATAAAATCAAACACACAAAACAAAACAAAACACTCTCCTACTTCCTTCAGTGATTTACCTTGCAACTTCCCCTTAATTTTACTTTTATCAGAAAACCGCTCCTTTTTTGGAAAAGTGTGGCTTTGCATCTGTTACTCCCTCTTGGGTAACTTACAAGGACAGTGACCCAGATTGAAATTACATGTGCTGGATTTAAGTGCATTTTGGTAAATGTGCCAGTTTCTGACCCAGCCCTATCCAGACTTTCAGAAGAAGAAGCCTATCCTTTGTGAGAATACAGCCAGGGCTGATGAGAGGGAAAGTTTCCTCTAATGCAGGTGTGGAGAACCTTTGATCCTCCAGATGTTGCTGACCTGTTGCACCCATCAACCCCAGCAAACATGGCCAATGCCCATGGAGTTGTAATTGATAATGGATAGTTCAGTAACGTCTGGATGTCCAAAGTTTTTCCACACCTGTTCTGGTGCTAGATGTATATTTTCCCACAGTTATTTGTGTTCTATTCAATATAGATAGAGTTTATTGAGAAAGAGCATTGGTTTTGTATTCATATATTCCAACCTGAGGTTATTGGAGGAAGGGGAAAATAGAATATGAGAAATAAACATTTCTCTTCAATTTTATTTTCCCTCCTCCACTCCTGCTTTCTTTTCTGCATAAATAGGGTGGCAGACAAACTTTTTCCCACATACTGATTGGAATTTGATTTAGGGTGCCTAATGCCAGATAATATTCCTTTCACCTTGAGCCTGCAGGTTTCAAGTTGACCAAATTTACCTCAAAGCTTGCTCCACATGGGTAGCCATATTCTGTTCTATCCCCTGCCCTTGCCACTGTATATTAATAAAAGAGGCATTGTCTATGTTAACTTCACATATCTGCATTTATTTTTGGTTAATTTCATTGGGTGTGGCTTGATAGTCTCCTTTTTTGCACTGAAATAAAAACTGTGGAGAAATTTGAGATCGTCATCTTAAAACTGTCACATACTCTCAGCTTTAATCATAGCTCAAGAGCATTTGTTAAGATATAGCTCATTCTGTAAGAAACAGAAATATGTCTTGCCAGTCAGACCAAAAATAGCCAGACACATCATTTTAAAAACAACAACAACCAAACAAGTTTTTAAACTATGTGGTTCGATATATTCTACTTCCCTTTTGACAGAAATAGGAGAAAATTGATCTAATGTGATTGGGCCCAGACATTACACATTTTTCTTGTTTACCAATGTCTAACATCATATATTACATTTGTACTATATCAATAAAACAGCACTGTATCCCCCTTCCCAGGCTTAACACATCTTAGCTTGAAAAGTGATTTAAACTGGATAGCTCAGTCGGCAGAGCATGAAATCCTTGATCTCAGGGTTGTGGATTCAAGCCCCACGTTGGGGAAAAAATATTCTGGCATTGCAGGGGGTTGCACTAGATGATCTTTGTGGTCCCTTCCAACTCTACAATTCTATGATTTTATTGATATTAATAAGCAATTCTATATTTATGATCCACTAACTCCGGCAGGGTCCATAGGATATGAGGTGGGGTGAGAGAGAAGTAACCTCATACTGTCATAGCTGTCAACTTACAGATTTGAAAATAAGGGACCAGGAGCCTCAAAAATAAGGGATCAGCAGCCAAAATAAAGGATTTTCCCAGCACAGGTATGTTCAACTTCTGAGCCCCTCCAAGCCAAAGGCAGAAAGCCCAGCCAGCAGCAAAACGAAGCCTCAAGCGGTGGTTCCCACAGTGCAGCAACCTGGCAAAGGGGATGCAGCAAGGAAAACCACCGTCACCTCTCCGCTGGGAAGCGCTGAGCAAAGGCGAGTCCCCAGGCAACGAGGCCGATTTGATCGGCACAAGGCATGCAAGCTCCACACACCCCCCCCAGTCATTCTTAGACTCCTTATTGGGTGAGCAACGCAGCCAAGCAACACAGTTGGAGCCTCCCTCCTCCCTGGCCTGCAGGGAGGGAGAGAGAGGAGCTGCTTCCTTTGAAACCCGGGAAATTTAAGAGACATCATCAATAAGAGACAGCAGCGGGACACAGCGCTGGGATAAGGGACTTTCCTGCCAAATAAGGGACAGTTGACAGCTATGCATACCATGCACCCAGCCCTCTGAATTATGACCATCCATTGTGGAATTAATATGCTAGTGATGGTGTGCTGTAACTGAGTGCTGAGTTCAACCACATCCTATGCTACCCAAGTTGTTAGGAGACCCCGGCTCCCTTCACAAAGCTACAATTCTCAGAGTAGTTTAACAGTCAATCCCTCTTCCCGAGGAACTCTGGAAATCGTAGCTCTATGAGGGGGAAGGGGGTCACCTAACAACTCCCAGTACTCTTAACAAGCTACAGTTCCCACGATTCTTTGGAGGAAAGTCATGGTTGTTTAAACTGGTATAGCACTGCTTTAAATGTATTGTGCAAATTGGACCAAAGTCTTTTCAATAGTGCCCCTTCCCTTTCCCAGATATGGGATGGCATTCTTTAGGGAAGTGCCAGGTTAATACTCTTCTGGGTTTAAGTCCCCATGATGTTTAACATGTGTGCATTTGATGGCTCTTTTAGTTCTGAGCTGTACATAGTCAAATTTTATTATACTAGTTTTGTATCTAGGCTTTATGCCGGCTGACTCATTTTTAATGGTTCATTCTTTTTATATCTATGATGCCTCAATAATTTATTTTATGAGGATATCTGCTGGAAATGTAAGGAAAAAGATGGTACCTTTTTCATATGTTGTGGCCCTGTAAAGTAATAAAAGAATTATGGGAAATGATATATAATGAATTGGAAAAAAATGTTTAAATTAACCTTTATAAAATAAAATAAAAAACAGAGGCTTTCTTACTAGGAATTGTAGGTGCTGATATTCTGAGGGAGCAAAAATGACTTTTTGTGTATGCAACGACAGCCGCAAGGATGCTATTAGCTATTAGCCCAGAGATGGAAAGAAGATAAAGTCCCCACCAGAGAGGAATGGAATGGCAAATTAAACTGTTGGACTATGCCAAAATGGCAAAATTGACCAGAAAGCTCAGGAACCAAGAAGACCAAAATGGGGAAAATTTATAATCTATCTTGGAGGCCATTGTAAGGAGATGAAACACTAGCAGGATTGCAATAACACTTGAAATGTAGCAAGGAACTATGGAGACAATGGAGTTATACAAAATATGGACTATTGAAAAAGAGGTAGCAGAAAAGGCTTGGTAATGGGACCCATCGAGGGGAAGGTGGGAAGTCCAGAGATTCAGAGGAATCTCTTAATTGTTGATGTGTATGGTTGTATTGTTATAATTTTATATATGTAAGGTAAAGGTAAAGGTACCCCTGCCCGTACGGGCCAGTCTTGCCAGACCCTAGGGTTGTGCGCTCATCTCACTCTATAGGCTGGGAGCCAGCGCTGTCCGCAGACACTTCCGGGTCACGTGGCCAGCGTGACAAGCTGCATCTGGCGAGCCAGCGCAGCACACGGAACGCCGTTTACCTTCCCGCTGGTAAGCGGTCCCTATTTATCTACTTGCACCCGGGGGCGCTTTCGAACTGCTAGGTTGGCAGGGGCTGGGACCGAACGACAGGAGCGCACCCCGCCGCGGGGATTTGAACCGCCGACCATGCGATCGGCAAGTCCTAGGCGCTGAGGTTTTACCCACAGCGCCACTCGCGTCCCAATATATATGTAAAATCAAATAAAAATTAATTTCGGGGGGGGGATTACGAGGGACCTTGTTATTGTTGTTTAGTCGTTTAGTCGTGTCTGACTCTTCGTGACCCCATGGACCAGAGCACGCCAGGCACTCCTGTCTTCCACTGCCTCCCACAGTTTGGTCAGACTCATGTTGGTAGCTTCGAGAACACTGTCCAACCATCTTGTCCTCTGTCGTCCCCTCCTTCTTGTGCCCTCCATCTTTCCCAGCATCAGGGTCTTTTCCAGGGAGTCTTCTCTTCTCATGAGGTGGCCAAAGTATTGGAGCCTCAGCTTCAGGATCTGTCCTTCCAGTGAGCACTTAGGGCTGATTTCCTTAAGAATGGATACGTTTGATCTTCTTGCAGTCCATGGGACTCTCAAGGGTCTCCTCCAGCACCAATGAGGGACCTTACAAACTTAATAAATAAATGCATTATGGCTCTGACATGACTGTTCAGCCAGGCAAAAAAGTGAGTAGGGGGTATTCCCTCTTCCCACTCATGTGACTCGAACTCCTACCTGCTGCTTCTCAACATCCAGCCCTGAGAATGCTGCTGATGGTGTGTGTGTTTGGCTCTCCTTCTTGCACAAGATCCCAGCTGGGTCAGACCTGAGGCATTTAGCCCAGCATCCTGTTCTCACAGTGGCCAACCAGATACTTATAGGAAGCCCACAAGCAGAAGCCAACTGCCATAATATTGTCCCCACTTGTGATTCCCAGAAACCAGTATTCACAGGTGCATTGCCTCCAACAGTAGCTAGCAGTAATCCGTAGCCCTGTTCTCTATGAAATATACTGTATTTCATAAATATAGGCATATACGGTGGCTACATGGCAAAAGTCTTTCCCTCCCTTGAGGGGTAATATTACCTGTAGTATTATTATTAATAATAATTAATAACCCACTGAAATTATTATTATTAAAATTTGTATACCACACTTCATCCAAAGATCACAGGGCGGTTCACAATGTAAAAATGCAAAATGAGAACAAATAGAATATATAATAGAACAAAATCAATCATCCCCCTCCAACAGACACATTTTGAAGGCCATATAATATAGCAGACAGATGAAGAATCAGAGGTTTTTTTCTTTCTGAATCTTATTTTTCTATCTTTCTCTTTTAACCTCTTTTCTATTTTTTTTTATTATTATTATTTCTTTTTCCTTCTCTATTTCTCTCCCTCGCCCCTTTCTGTGTTTTTATTGCATTTATATAAAAGTCTTGGTTTGGTGAAAACATGGGAAAATGTATGTTTTTTTTATTTTTCTCTAGAAACCTTATTAAAATTTATGTATTTATTTATTTATGGCTGGCCGTAGAATGTTAATCAGCCAAACGCCCGGTTGAAGAGAAACATTTTCACCTGGCACCTTGGTTTGGCATTGACCAGTGCAGAAAATAAATGTGTGTGGTACACATAGGAACAGCAGGCCCAGAGTGCTTTCATGTTGTTGTTAAGTCCTCCTCAGCAGACCCACTAAAATGAATGAATATGACTAAGTTTACTAATTTCAACGGGTATGTTTTGAGTGAATCATTGCAAGGCTGGCCCATCCATGAGGTGGACTGAAGCTCAGTTGGCAGAATCCAAGAGACACCACTGTGGGCACCTCCACCCCCACTGAAGCCTGACTTACTGGAGTCATGCAGTTGGCTTCCAGGTTCCGGCGAGTCCTTGCAAGAGCCCCATGCAATTTTGCAGGGCAAGATCTCACTGGAACTCAGAAACCACCTGACACAACTGCATGACCCCAGTAAGTGAGACTTCAGTTGGGACAAGGGGCAGCTTCTCAATTCACCTCAGGCGATGAAATGGGACAAGCCACCCCTGCTTGGTTGAATACCACCCACTGAAATCAATGAACTTAAGTTAGTCATGGTCATTAATTTCAATAGATCTAAAAAAGAAAAAAGAAAAGGAACGCGGGTGGCGCTGTGGGTTAAACCACAGAGCCTAGGGCTTGCCAATCAGAAGGTTGGCGGTTCGAATCCCGGTGACGGGGTGAGCTCCCGTTGCTCGGTCCCTGCTCCTGCCAACCTAGCAGTTCGAAAGCACGTCAAAGTGCAAGTAGATAAATAGGTACTGCTCTGGCGGGAAGGTAAACGGCGTTTCCGTGCGCTGCTCTGGTTTGCCAGAAGCAGCTTAGTCATGCTGCCCACATGACCCGGAAGCTGTATGCTGGCTCCCTCAGCTAATAAAGCGAGATGAGCTCCGGAACCCCAGAGTCAGCCTCGACTTAACCTAATGGTCAGGGTTTACCTTTAACCTGAATAGGACAGGTGTTCAACACTACTTGTTACCTCTGCAAGCCCTCAGAACAGCCTTTCTCAACCTGTGGGTCCCCAGATGTTGTTGAACTAGCTAGCAAGGCCGGAGCTCAGGGATGATGGGAGTTGTAGTCCAACAACATCTGGGGACCCACAAGTTGAGAACCACTGCCTTAGAAGATATTCTGTGTGTGAGTCAGTCTTAACCTTGCTTTATAAGACTGCAAAAATATAATAAAATAAGTAAAAATCAGCTCAGACACTATCTTTAGGAACTCCTTATGTATCAGTAGTGAAATAGGAATGACTATATTTTATTGGGGGGGAGGGAGGGAGAAATCAAAGTGAGCATTGTATTAATCAGGAATATCTATGCAGTCCATAAAACAAGTGAGGTCTGCAAAACATGAAAAACAGAGTGTGCGCCCATATCTGCATAAATGTAGTAAATGCAATAAAACATCCACATAGTGAGGGCATGGGGAGAGCAGCTTCTTGCTTATCACACTGCTAAGTTGAACACCTCTAAAATGATGTGATAGGGGCAGACATTTTCAGAAACTGGAGGGAGTTTATTGGCCCAGCCTTAATATTTATAGCACAATCCTACATTTGTTTTAGCAGAAGCAAGCATTCAATGTCACTTACCTCCAGGTCAATACATTCAAGCTTGCAGCAATGCAAAACAATACAATAGATGTGAACTCGGAAGAAATTTGCATTGAATTCAATAGGTCTTACTCAAAGAATGAATGTGCATTATCAACAACGGGTAAATTTGGTTTTCTCTCAGTTTCTTATTTTCCCAACCTTAAATTCAGTTCTCCACATTTCCACATAAGTTTGTGGTTTTTTATTTTTAGGGGTTCTCATGAAAATTCATCAGCGTTTTAGTGTGAATTTTCACATTTTGAATTTTGTATATATATATTTATAAAGGAATTTCCTCCATGCAATGTATTTTTTGCATGTTGTTTTCTAATACATGCATTTATAGGCACATTTTACCCTAATATATGTATCTTTGTACACATCACTTGGCAGGAGAACTGCATTGCAAAATTTGGAGAAGTGTGAGTTTTGAAGGACAGCTGTGTTTTGGTTCACATATTGTTTCAACAAGTGAAGATTTGGTAAGGTCACCTTTAAATGTGAACTGCATCAAATTTACTCCCCTTCTCTAACTACAACTTATTAATAATAGTAGTAATATCTTTATTAGTAGCCAGTTTCTTTTGCTAAAGCAAATTACTAAAAATAAGGGACCACCACCAAAACCAGCATATTCTTCTTTCTCCTAGTGGGGGAAAAAATCAAAGTAGTGTGACATCACATCTGCATCTCCGCGCTTCTCTGTTTGAATATCCTGTATTGACAGTGTCTTGTGAAAGAATATTTCTAATTCTCTATACAGAACCCACAGGCAGGGGTGGGTAGAGATCATTTCCATGGCAGCCCCGTGATAAATTCAGCAGGTATTTTCACTGCCTATCACATTACCTGTTCACACTACCACATCTCCCTGTTCATTCCTAGGAGCCTATAGTTTTGGTTGTGAAATCAATGATCTAATGTAAGAAGTAAGGTGGTAGTTCAATCAAGCTGCAGGGCCACAGGCTCAGTTTTGTGAAAGACATTGCAGCATTGTGCCAATTGGCATGAATAAAGTATCTGGTACAAATATTTCCTTTTCTTTCCCCCAGAGAGGCTGTTTCTTCAGAAGGTCAAGACATTGCAGAGAAATTAACTTTTATGTCAGCTGCTACATAAGCAAACCTCTGGAAGTTTAATTAAGATGTTTTATTTCTTGATGATAAATAGATCCGAATCGTGTAGGCAACACTTGGTATATATTTTCCTCTTCCTGTTTTCTAACGACTTTTAGACTACTTACGGCTGAATTGATTTAACAATGCATTTTTTATAGTATGTAACCATTCAGGCTTAAATAGTCAGAGCCAGAAGTGGGGGCGAATGAATCCATCAAAGTGTAGCTGGTTCACAAAAGACGAGCTTAAACAGGAGGGGAAATGCAGGTCAGAGTAACAATTTGGCACTGTGTCAGTCATGCATGGGCACTAAACTGCCTTCTTGCACCCAGAACAAGATGCTTCTGTATGCATGACGACGGACTGAAGCCTCCCATTTGATTTCCGAACAGATCTGAACTTGTGCGTGCAGGTCTTGCCAATGTCTTTTTATTTTAAAAAAGGAACTTTTCAAGGGGGGGGGTGCATTTTCTTTTTTAAAAAAAAACATTTATTGTCATCTTTTTATTTATAGCTAGAAGTTCTTTGATTTGCTTGAAAGGCACCCAAGAATAATAGTAACTGTGAACTGAAATAGATACAAACTGTACAGAATAAATAGTTCATATAAACCTAACTAAGCTTTGTAGTAAAATAAAGCTGTCGTGCTTCATGTCACCTTCATCTGGAGAGCATCTTTGTGAAGTACATCCCATTGAATTCCACAGAACATCTGTCAGGCTGCTCGTATTATTTTTGCTTTTTTAGGTTTACATCTAAGTTGTTGGGTAGGGGATAAGTGTGCACGGAAAATGTGGCTTGCGTATTCAACAAACGGGTGTGTGAAAACACAGATGTAGCCGTCCGAGAGCTAGACTTGATCGTACCTCCTTGTCGAGTGCATACTCAGCAGAAAACCCAGGACAGTTGCAGTGTAATAGCTGAAACAGCCTGACAGAACTTGCTTTCATGTAAGCATGCTTAAGCATGCGGACAAATCAATGGCTGGGGCCCAGCTTAGTCACTGGCAACTATATGTTCAGCGTTAACATGACACAGACCCAAGATTCTGGAGTGCTAATGTTGTAAATATAGATTCCAGCGATTTGCTTTAAAACAAGTTGCAAACCATGCACATGTACTTTTCTTTCTTTCTTAAAGTGCCTGGTATCATTTTCAAACCGGACCTGATAAAAGCTCTTTTGCTGAGTAATTGTATCAAATATGGAGTATTTACACAGATACACAAATAAGATCTCATTGGTGTACTTATTTGCATGTGACATTTAACTGACCACAGTGAATTGATGTTTCATCCGAAGTATCCACAACCATAACGGGAGTCAATCATATAAATAATAATAATAATAATAATAATAACCCAGCTCATTGATTTACTAATATATTTACAATAAATTCTCAGTAGCTTTCCAAATTTCCTCAGGTATGAGTGTCAACCAATGGTGCCCAGAACTCTATAGCAGCATTATATTGAAGACTGTCCAAAAAAACAATTAAAATTGCCTACTAGGGAAAGTAACCAAAAAAGAGAGCTTTGTGTATGTCTTTTAGGATGCCTAGATAAAACATGTACACAGCTTTCCCCCTCCTTCTGAATATTCTAACAGGTTTTTTAAAAATATAAATAACATTCCAAATAAAAGGTACTTAAATATTGGCGGACCTTGGGGTTGTACAGTTAAATATCTGTTTAAAATCATATAATTTATCTTGTATTTATTATGTGGCAATCTCATGTGCGATCCATAGACAATACTCATACATGTGAACTAATTCCTAACCAATATACACCATCCTCTTGGAACCAGGTATATAGGTGCACTTTAAAGAAAATTTAGTGTCTAGGTCCGGGGAACAAAAGTAACCAATGCTTCAAGCTTTTTTCTTTCTTTTCTAAGCGAAAAAAATGAGGGATTGCCATGCAGGTCTCGAGGAATATGGCCAGCTGAACTTCCTCCCAGAATCCAGTTGCCCAAAGTTCACATTTAATGTGAGAATGAGACACAGAGCCTGCAAACTTCCCCATGGCTTCACACAGTTATCCCTGAGAGTTTCTTTCAACTCGGATTACTACTGTGCTTAAAGTTCTGATTGACGACACATTATTATAAGGCACTTTTATTTACAAGTTCCGAGTTAAGATAGAAGAGTTTTTGACTTAATCCTTCAAAAAGGGTCCCTTTTATGTTTGCTGTTCCAAGACCTCCAGATAATCAGGTTCAGCATGCAGGTTGGCTTTGAGTTCAAAATATTCGTTTTTAGTCTGTTCTAGTAAAACTTTCCTTGGCCTGGAGTACATGAGTGTCTCCATTAGCTTTAGCTCCTCATGAGCTCCTGGATAGTGTACCTCCATATCAGGGTGTAACTGGGCTATGTTTTTCCGTAGATACTCAGTTATCCCCAGTTGCTGAAGTTCTCTTTCTTTCTCAAGAATGTTCCTGTACAAGGAGCTGGCATCCTGGAAGGAAAGGAACTCAGCCGATTGGTCTGTAGCTTTGTATTTGACATTTGACCCCGTCAGAGGGGAGGAGTGCTCCCTCTCCAAGAGGCCTCTGCGGAGATGTTTGGAATCATTCATCTCCTTGTCATTCATCTCCTGTTGATGGTCTGTAAATTTGGGGCTGAAAGATGGGCTTCGATAAACTTGCACCATGGGGCTGAGCATACGTTGCTCATACAAGCTTGTGGCCGGGCGCTCCGTGGTGTGATGTGTTGTTTTGTGACCATACATGCTGTACTGAAGCTGCACTGGGCTGTTGTCCCGCATCTGTTCGTCTGCGTGCTTCTTTTTGTACCTTCTCCGCCGGTGTAGGACAAGGACGACGATACCAGCTGCGCAAAAAATGATGGTTACAAAGACTATCAAAAGCCCCAGGATTAAAACTGAAAGAGGAATTGCATCGGTAAGTGATCGCAGAATAGTGTCTGCCGTATTGGTGGTGGTTGGTGACGTGGTGACGACTATGAAGCTAGCATGAGTTGCGGAAGGTGGGCTGTTTATTCCGGGACATAGCACGTCACTATTCAGAGATTTCAGTTTCTTTTTAGCTAAATGCCTTGGAGATGTGCAGAAAATGTCGCCCGTCATTGTGTTTCTGTTCAGCTTTTGTATCCATTGCTGCAGCCCAACTGAGTCACAAGTACAATCCCAAGGGTTGTCTTCCAGCTCAAGTTGTACGAGTAAATCCAGATCATCTAAGACATTCCCTACAGGCAAATGTGCAAACTGGTTGGTTTTCAGATTTAGCCTGGCTAGAGGAACTCCAGAAAAAATGTGGGCTGGCAAAGTCTGAAGAAGGTTATTATTTAAATAAAGGACCTTTAGTTTAGGCATGGGATGAAATGTCCCTGGTAAAACCTCCTTGATGAAATTATATTCAAGATACAAATACTCAAGGCGCTGCAGGCCTAAAAATAAATTCCGACTCAGCTTGGTGAGATGATTCCCATTGAGATATAATTTTTGCAATCTGGTGAGATTGAGGAAGGATCCTTCTTCTAGTATTTCAATACGGTTGCTTCCCAAGTGAAGCAAGTCTAGGCTGCCATAGTCTACAAGGTCTGATTTCAGTAATGTCTGAATTATATTTCCAGCTAGTATTAGCTTTTTAGGATTTGGAGGAGGAGGTCCTAAATCTGACAGGCTTTCAATGTTTTGTTCCTGGCATTGCATTAAAATCCCTGAAAGGATATTGCTAGTGCACTGACAAGGGATCGGACAATATACACCAGGAAGCAGAGTAGCTGGCTTTGTTACGTGAAGTGTTAAAGCAGTTTCCCTGGTAGGAACCCTAAAAATAGGTATTACCTTGGTTGAGTAGTGACTATCACTTATTGACGTGGTAACCACCAATGGTAAGGACCCTGATGGGGCATCAAGATCATTTGTAGGGTGAGTGGGACATAGGGATTCTTTTTTTAATCTGCTTAAAATGCTGCCTTTCAAAATAGGAGGGCTGTGGCATACAACATCACCTATTATGGACTGAGGAGGCATGTTTTCTAACCAAGCTTTCAACTCCACCAGGTCACAATTGCAGACCCATTTGTTATCTTCCAACTGAAGGTCTAGAATTCTACCAATATGTTCTAAAAAACCAACATAAGGTAGAGTCTGCAGCTGGTTCCCACGAAGATCCAAGTGAGTTAATGGCACAAAGCGAAATACGTTGGAAGGAAGAAACTCAATGGCATTGTCATTTAAAATGAGCACCTTTAGCCTGTTGAGCTTGCTGAAGGCACTTGATTCAATTATTGTGATGAAATTGTTGTCTGCTTGAAGGAATTCCAAGTTCTCCAGCCCATGGAATGTGTCTTCTTTAAGTACTTCTAATGAGTTGTGATTGATATGAAGTTGCTTAAGGAGACTTAGTCCATTAAATGCTCCTGGTTCAATGTCTACAATGTAGTTAAATCCAAGATGGAGTGAGAGAGCGTTGATGAAGCTGGAGAAGTCATTCACATGTAACATGGTCAAGCTGTTGTTGAGAAGACTAAGGTGGAAAGGCCTGGATGGTGGAACATGTACTTGAGATAACTCCTTGATGCCTCTTTCTTCGCAGTTTATATTAAAGACACCATCCTTTTCCTCACAGGAACACAGCATATCACAAGAGCCAATAGTTGAAGGTAAAGCTGGTTTGGACTGTAGTACATCACAAGCAACCCCCATCAAACTTAATGTAATTATCCAGAGCTTCATGGTCATCCAACAGCTTCTGCAAAATACAACACAGATATATACCTCATTTTTATTTTTTTAAAAGGTGATCATCACAACATTGGAGGACCTCCCCACCCCTTGCCTGCCCACATGCTCCAGTATACAAACCACCCACTGAAGTAGCAACTCCTATCAATTGAAACATTATAGTAATTCTCTAAGATGAGAAAGGTCAACTGGTTGACCATTGAGTGCATCCAATTCCCAAGTTAAATTTGCCCAGTTCTGCAGAGTAACATTTCTGGACACCACTGTGTTCTCTGCTTATTGGATAAGCAACTTTCTTTTTCTAATGTGGGGTGAGTAAACTTCACCCAACTATTCTGAATGAGTGTTGGTGTTAAGAACTATGCTATTACTCTCTTTTCTTGATAACTACCATAGTTCTTCCTTGAGGAGTGTGAATGACCCAAAGAGTGGAGTGGTATAGTGTATGTCCTTCAGGCTTAAGAAATTGGCTACACCTCTGCTCTGTGGAAAGGAAGAGTTACAAGTTGCCACTTGCCAGTAGTATATCCGATAACTGATACCTTGTACCATAGATGGACCATGGAAAAACTGATTTGTCTATTTATTTCAGTGCAAAAAACTTATTTAGAAATTGAATGAAAACAACAAAGGAAGAATGCTGTCCCCCAACATTGTCACAGTGAATGCCAAACATCCGAATGATCAAACAATTTAAACTTTTAGCATAGTAACAGTTAAGTAAAGGTAAAGGTAAAGGGACCCCTGACCATTAGGTCCAGTCACAGAAGACTCTGGGGTTGCAGCGCTCATCTCGCTTTATTGGTCGAGGGAGCTGGCGTACAGCTTCCGGGTCATATGGCCAGCATGACTAAGCTGCTTCTGGCAAACCAGAGCAGTACATGGAAATGCCATTTGCCTTCCCACCAGAGTGGTACCTATTTATCTACTTGCACTTTGACATGCTTTTGAACTGCTAGGTTGGCAGGAGCAGGGACCAAGCAATGGGAGCTCACCCCGTCGCAGGGATTCGAACTGCTGACTTTCTGATAGGCACGTCCTAGGCTCTGGGGTTTAACTTACAGTGCCACCTGCGTCCAACAGTTGAGTAGCAACGTTTTATATGTAGAATTTAGGTCAAGAAGAAAAAGAAGTCACAGAAAAGAGAAAAAGTTTCATATAAACACCTCAGTCTTGCGTGGATTCATAGGACTCCCTTTCCACTACAAAGTGACTCCCCATCTCCAATCATCTCTCAGTGGAGATTTCCAATGTTTCAAGGATTGTAAATCCTACTACAGCTCCAATATTCACCTGGCAAGGTTATAAGGGTCCATTACATTCTACAGCATGAAGACAGTTGCAGCATGTTCCAGTAATGTCAGAGTCTAAACCCATATGAGAGAAGCCTGTGACATGATTCCTTACCATGCCAGCATTGCAACATGGCAAGGTGACTGTCTAGTCTGGTCTTGGCTAAAGAACTAGTTAAATTGTGTCCATTATCAGTGTTCCTTTCCCATTCTGTTGACTTCCGTGGCAGCTAACATGGTACTTTCTATAGAGTTAGATTACCACTCTCTTCGGCCCCACCAGCATGGCCAATGGACAGGGACTATGACAGTCATAGTCCAGCATCAAATCTGAAATACACCACATGGTTCTTCTACCATGGTGAGCTGTGCATATCAGAAATCATTTATTGAATAATTCAAATTCCTTAAATACAAAACACAAGTCACTTAGAAGTTACGCATATACAGCTACAGCGATGTGTCTGACACTCCCAGCACAATCCTATACATGTCTACTCAGAAGTAAGTGCCAATTGATTCATTCCCTATTTGTGATGCTCCCTTTCATTTGTGAAGTTTTTGGATTTATTTTTTTTTTTTTGGGGGGGGGGGGAATGGCATCACCCACAAACAAGACGGAGGTATCAATAGACTTAGGGAAACACACAAAAATGAGGGACTCCAAAATAGCCCAGTGAGGACTGAACCTGTTCCATGGAACAATGGATCAGGTGGGAAAGAAAACCAGGAGAGGAGAGAACAGAATAGGCTGGCAGGCTGGAAGAACGTGGCTAGTGGAAAAGGTGGGGTTGTAGGAGCTCAAGAGACTTCGAAACACTGCTGATCAACTGGCAAACAGGCAGGAGCTGCTGACTGAGAGATAAGGCAAGGAGCATAGAAGGAATAAAGAGGGAGAGTGGAAGGTGTGCAATTATATCCCTGTGTCTCTTCCTCCATTCCCTTTTCCCCATTCCTCTCTTCTATGAGCAAAAGAAGATGGAGGAAGGGGCATTCAGATGCAAAATGATCAGAGAGAACCGTAACTTATATTTGGATAAATCATTTCCTGGCAAGGCCAGCCAAGCATGTTTTGCTGCCTGAAGCAAAGGACAATATGGTGCCCACACACAAAAGCCAAGTGGACAGGCAGCTGGATCTTATTTAAATGCTGGTCACATTCTCCACAGCATCTGGGGCAGCATCCTAGTTTAGATGTGGCCAAGTTGGGTCACGTCGCACATACATGGGGGTATGGTGGTGGCAGTTGTTATGCTATGTATTTTGCATTTTCACACTGTAAACTGCCCTGTGATTAGGGGTTTCAGAGGAACAACCGGCACCTGCTGCCTGAACCAGTTGCTACCCTTTGACTAACGGTAGGGCTGGATTATTTCCTAGTTCACGTTGAGAAGTCTTATTTAAAATGTCTCCAGGCTGCCCATCAATAGGAAAAAGATCAAAGCTGAAACTGGCCCACAACCAAGGATCTCCTATACCCTTCAAAAAGATAGCAGGAAAAAGAAGAGAGCAGGTGTGTGTGTCAGTATTCCTGCTAATGCAAATTCCTAAGCAAATGCAGTTTATTGTCACCATACTGCAGGTTAGGAGAACCTAGACTAAGAGACAGTGTAGTACAGGCAAGGGTATATGATGAATACTGCAGGCCAGGCTCCAAGTTGTCTATAACAACTATGCAGGGGTTGTCCAGAGGCACTAGACCCCTTGCTACAGATTACCAGCTGAGAGAGCAGCTTTCCATTGTTTTGATCCTCATGATCCAGTCTGGGCTGAGGGCGGAAACAAAAACCTGCAATTAAATCCACTGCTATAGCCCTAATGCAGATGGGTGTGGCTGTGGACTGTGTTGAGAGACAGTCACTGCAGTCCCAAAACATAGCCCCTGGTTAACAATGTATGCCAGAGGTAGAAGTGGGGCTGGGGCTGGGGTGGATTCCTGGTCAGCATTCTCCTATATGTCTTAGGATGCACCAAAGATCAATCAACTTCACCTGCCCCCTCAAGTCCCCCTCCCAGGCCAAACTGCTTGCACAACCTTCAGGCTTCATTGGAATGAATGCATGCTGATTGGCTGTGCTGTCAAATGTTTTTAAAGTTACCTAAATTTTGCACGTGAAGAAAGAGCGAGGACAGCGGTCTTTGAGGGCCCCACCACAGGTAACATACATACACCTGGGGCACGCTGCAACATTTTGTTGCAAGGCATAACTTGTCCTTACTTTAAAGCATCATCTCTTAGTTTTGCCCTCCAGCTGTTTGTGTGTATTTGCATTTTAGGTACATCTAGAAAAATAAGTATAAGAAGAAAGTGGGAAAAGATGGGACAAGCAAGCTGTGAACAAGATGCTGATCTGGATATATTAGACATTTTCATCTACATTATTAATTACACTTGAAGGTAAACATGGCACAGAATTGCTATGTATACATGGATGATACTGCCTCCTATGGAATTCAAAATGTGCATTGCCTTTAAAGGAACCAGTTTTTGGAAATGTGGAGCTGCTGAGCAATATGTCCTATTAAACACGTTTAAATGTGGAAAATTAACTGTTGTACTAACACAGTTCTTTTAATATAGTTTGACTTGTGACTGCGTATTCTTTACTTATCTGTATGTGTTTACTCAGTCATGTTTGAGTATCTCCTTTTGTTTCACATGGGGTCATCTGTTCACAATGTATTAACAAAGTAAATAGTTCCATATTTCCCAAGTAAAGAATTTCTGCTTTGGAAAGGATGTTTCAAAACACATTTAGGCAAGCTCTGTTTTGGTACACTGCTTATTATAAGGCAGGGACCAATAGTCACCTCCCAGTGACTATGTGCAAGTTTACTTAGAAGCAAGCTCCAGTTACTTCAATGGGGCTTCCTTCCAAACCAGTGTGCATGCAATTGCAGCTTCGAATTCTCTGAAGTGGTGATATTGATGCCCATGAATCTAGCCTATAATAAGGGGGTAAAAGGGTTGCAGTTTTGACAGATGACATCCAATTTGGCTCAGAGACTCAGTTCAACATGCAAACACCCAGAAAGGTGCTTTATGCGGAAGTTGAACTTTTTCTTCATTTTCTTTTACAAAGCATTTGTGTGTTGACATGCACATGTCCAGGATTGAGGTCATGTCTTCAACCACTGTGAAGTCGTGTGTTGCTTCCCTGCACTCGTTTGGGCAATTAGTGCCATTCAATAAAGGAGATTTTGCAACAGATTTTAACCCGATTGTGTTTTACAGCATATTGCTGTAAAGTGCCATGAGGATGTAATAGGAGAGGAATATTGCCTTCAAGTCCTCAAGGCATCTGGTTGGCTTCTGTGGGGAAGAGGATGTTGGACCAAAATCCCAAACCTAATTACCTGGGTTTAAGCCCCATTGAACTCAATGAAACCTACTCAAATAGGAGTCCCCTGGTGATGGACCTTTCTGATCCTCTTATATTAGGCTACCAACATTAGAGTCTTTCTTAGGGCTGCGGTATTATTTAGCTTGGAGGGATTCACTTCCAAGTAAACACGTACAGGATCAGTCTGTTCAACTACAGGTAGCAATTTTGATTCGTTGTTGTTGTTGTTGATGATGTTGTTGTTAAACATGACTATAAGCTTCATTTCAGAAGCATTAAGCCAGAGAGCATGGGTGTGCGTCAGATTGGCCCCATAACTAGTGGAACTCACAGTGAAATCCTATATAAGCCTACTCAGATGTAAGTCCCATTGAGTTCAGTGGGGCTTATTCCAAAATAATCGTATATACCATTGCAGCTTCAGTCTTAAAGGCAACTATCCTAGTATGCCAATATTTTGAATGGGCCTACAAGTAATGATGTGGGTTTTTCCTTGTTTGTGGGGGGGTGTTGTCCATAAAGGGATAAATGCACATATTTTGGATCAAACAAAAGAAGTTTCTTGCCCCACTCTAGAGTCTAAATGTCTGCTTCTCCTTAACTTTAGTACCCTCACCCCAACCAACCTTGCTGACTGATGAACAAGACCCAGCATGCAGATCCTGTTTTACCAAAGGAGTTAGTTTATTACCAGCCATTAAAACAGAAAGTATTCCCCACTTTTAGTACCCAAGGCTTTGTTTTTGATAACCTAACTTCACAAATAAAGCTTCTTGTAAACACTTGTCTTCAGCAAAGCAATTGGGTCATTAATTCAACTTTTATTTTCTCTTAACTGTTCTTCTGCTAAGCAGGCAGAGCACACTGAACGTACTTGTTACGATGTCGTTGGGCAAAATTAAGAGAAGTAAATCAACATGCATTAATTTAAAGTGCATGTTGCATCGAAGGACGATTTACATACATTTCTGAAGATGAAAGCCTTCCACGTTTTTTTTTTCTGAAACACAAATGTTTAAAAGTATTTGCAATCGGCTAGAAAGGCATTCGCCTCTTAATCATTGTCATACTTTGGCTGGGTAAAATTGCAATAAGTCTCATTCTCTTTCATACACACACACACACAAACACACACACAGAGTTTTTTCTCCCTCTGCAGATAGATTCTTGGAGCTTCTGTCTAGTCCTGGAAGACATCAACTCACTATCTTAGATTTTGTCCTTCCAACTGTCCACCTCATCCCCAGCCTTCAAAAGCCATTGCTAGTAACACAACTGTAAACAAAAGCCTATTTTTGGCTAACATATTATTTACATTTTAAAACTTCTACCCCATCAAACATGGCTTTATCCATGCATGGATGGCCCCCTTGGGGCTGCTAACCTTGTATTATAAATATAATGAAACTTCAAAATATCCAAAGTGGCACAGGAGTATAACTTACTTCATATTGCCCATTCCAGAGAAATGTCCCTTGTACCGATTAATTCACTTGCTTAGTTGAAGCATTACATTCCCAGTGCTCTAATTCCATAGATGCTTTCAAAAACTACCTTAAATAAATGGTTCCATTTTGAGCATGGAGGGAGGAGGGAGTTTGGGGAAAACCTAAGGAACACCAGAGGTTTTCTCCACACACACACACACACACACACACACACCACTCGCCTCAACTGCCTCTTGGTAGATTTTTTGCACATTTTTGCATTTTCAGGAGCACTGATTAATGAGTGTCCCTAAGGCAAAGTTTCCATACAGATTGAAGGCAATAAATCCATCTATTTTAAAGAGCAGAAATCAAATACATTTCTTGTTTCAATTAATGCTTATACAGTTGGTAGAAAGTGGATATGACGGACTACAAAGCCTCAGGTTAAGAAACGATCACTTGAATATGGCTATGTGCTCCTTTGTCAAATTCTGCAGGCAACTACAGTTTACTCTAGGATCGCAGAAGGAATCTAAGGGTTTGGTGTATGTAAAGTCCTTTTCCTGTGTGCCACTGCAAATGCCACTCCTTAAATCTCTCCTTCCCTGCCAGCCAATTTCTTTTAAGATCCTTCCATGCACAAAATATCCCCAGGACCTATGCAACACTTGAGGTGCCATTCTATAAGTTTTGAGCAAATATTTGCTCTAACAGGAAACAAGCACCTCAAACTCTCTCTCTCTCTCTCTCTCTCTCTCTCTCTGTGTGTGTGTGTGTGTGTGGTGGGGCGGGGGAGAGAGAAACAGAATAGGTAGCCAAGGTGATTTTTACAATGCAAAAAAAGCTGGCTATGGTTAAGTTAATTCCTAAATGAAAGTCTCCTTACCTGTACAGCAGCTACACCCACTGACACAGCCGGCGATGCACAGAGTCGCTCTTCGTATACAATCCCCTTCCTTGTTATCTCCAAAAAGGAGCCCTTTCCAATCCCCCACCAACCTAGGTTAAGGTCTCGCTTTGCAGGGATCTCAAGCGTGGCTGCAGTTCCTTGAAGTTAAAATCCTAGCTCCGAAGCAGGACAGATCATATTTGACTGAGAGCAGAGAGACAGAGAGAGGGGGAAATTTTAAAAAAAAAAAAAAATCTTGCAGGAGGTGGAGAGGGGGAGAACGACGCCAGGGAGAAAGAGAACCCACTACACCATCCTGTAAACAGTTGTCCCTTTTGCTCAATTAAAATTCACAGCAGACTTCCCAGCTAGGCTGACTTTCTGCACGTAGTTAACCATTTGCGAGCTTCGGGATGCAGTAAATAAACCCAGCGCTCCGCAGGACTTCAAGCGATCACTCCTGGCTTTGCAAGAAACGCAATATGTATCTTTAGATGCTTTAAGGATCCAAACTGCTGCGATGCACGCTCTCTCTGTGTGTTTCGCTCCCCTCTCTCTCTCCCTTCGGAGAGTCTTTCTTGTTAGCTCAGTTTGTTATTAGTCAGATTGCCAGAGGCTGGGAGGTAGTAGGCGTAAATAAAGAGACTTCTTGGCTTTTGACTCAGCCTTTAAGCCCTTCCCCATCGCGGAGCGTTAATCTGCCAGTGTCATTTAATACAAGATCCATGCAGCTCCACCTTAGGAAAGCTCAGCTCCTCCTCCTCCTGCTGCAAATTATCTCACCTTTTTCTCCTTTACCCCTTCTTAACCCTAACTCCCCCCACCCTTGAAAAAAAAAGCAAAACACCTGAAGATCCTCAAAGAAAAACACTACTCCATCTCTCATAGAAAGCAAAATAAATATTCATTTCTGGGAAGGAGGGAGGGATATTCCGACAGCATTTGGTAGCCTTATCAATGAGAGATTCTTGTTCCAATCTTGATCCAAAGGTCTGTTGCGAAAGCTCAGAGATTGTCCAGTCATTGCCTAGAGAATATTTTTCCCCTACAAAAGAAGACTCTCAGTGATTGATTACCTGTCAATAGAGAGAAGGGTTTTGTCTAAAGTGTGATAAGTGGTCCATAGATGCTGCCCCCTGGACTCATCTTCTGGGATGTTTAACTGGTGTAGAAGTGTGAGTGTTTTCAAGGGTCGGACTGAAGCAATCCTGGGTTTTTACAGAGGCAGGCAGAATGCAGTAATTGTTCTCCAGAAATCCCCCAGTGCCCTGTGCTACAGAGAGGATCAGCTTGATTTCTAATTGACTGCTTTCCAAATGTTAGCATAACCCACTTGCTTTAATGCACTGGCGGCAGAAGCATCCAGCCGTCGAAAGAACTGAGGAGGAGAAGGTAACCAATAACTGGATCTTTAATTTCCCCTTGCAGTTGTAATCCCTGACGTGTTGTAGTGCTGTGCCTATAAGTGGCGCCAAGGGTAGCTACTTCTGGTAAGAGAACACAAGTCTTCGTAGAAGCCCCACTTTCTGAGCGCAAGGTAGGCAGTGTATAAGGAAATGAAATCTGCACCCACAGCAGCAGTGTGTGTCGGAAATAGAACAAATGGAACCTTTAGAGAAACAAAGTGGCTTCAGGTTATACCACCTGGACTGTAGCCTATTCTGAAGGATATGGGGAGGGGGGAACTTGGAGAAAAACAAAACAGAAGTTATTTTTGTTCTCAGTGAAATGAAACCTTCAAATCTAAGACTGGGTTCTCTCATTATGCTGGCAGCATGGAAACAGCTAGTGATCTGCTGTTTCTTGCACTGTTAGAAAAAAACGTGTGAATTCATGGAACTCGTGTTTTGGCTCCTCCCCTCATTAACACCACCCACTCTCCAGAAACGATGGTGATACTGGTGTGGGGAGGAGCCACAAATCTGACATCTTCCTCGTAGCGTAACCGTGTGTTGAGAATGCGAGTGTGGGCGTTTGTATTACGGCAGAACTGCGAACCGTGAGAGGTTTCACTTGCAAAGTGGCATTTGTTTCCGCATGAGCAGTGCGCCTTCACTGTTCTGAGCATGTTCGAAAAGAAGTAGGCCCTACTGCATTCAGCGAGACTTGTTTCCTAGCAAGTGTGGTTAGGACTGCAGCCTTTGATTCAGATAGTAAGGGCTTGTCCGCGTTGGAGTTCACTATGTGTCTGCAGCCATTTGCATTCCCATCTAATTTACGTAGTCCACATGCCATTACCCTCAAACAACACCAAAATTTCCTCTTTCCACCTTTAAATTCGGGTTTATCTGATATGGGGATAATTGGCTAAACTGAGAGAAATCAGGCTCCAAACTGCTCCACTCAGGGGTGCACAGATTGAATAAAATATTGGGGTGGGGGCAGGTAAGCCCTGCTCCACATAAGTGATCACATGCACACCATTTGAGTGACAATGCCCATCGACTGGGGGGAGAGGCTGGCCCCCTCAATTTTTGTGTGTGTGTGTGTGTGTGTGTGTGTGTGTGTAAAGGGACCTCAGCCCCTAGCTGTTGGCTCCTATTTCTTGGTGCTTCAGACGTGTGTGTGTGTGTGTGTGTGTGTGTGTGTGTATGCGGAAGCATTGATCTGAAGTGAACATGTGTGGGGGCCAACCAAAGTTGTTGAGCTTTTTAAAGGATTTGACCCCAATAAACAAACTGCCACAGGGGCCAGACAAAACTGGCCGGAGGGCTGGATTAGGCCCCCAAAATGAATGGGCTTTGGACATGACTAATCTGCACAAAACCAGAAAACTGCACTGGCAAACAGATTAAAAATTTTATACACACTTACTGTACAGCAAAATAAAAATAAAAATGTATGCTTTTAATTTCTTTTCTGGAGGTGTTCTTTTCCTACATATAGTATTTATTCCCTACAGATGCTCGATTACAGCTTACAGGTTTTGATATCTCAAATAAATTCAGCCAAATCTATGTAATAAAAGCATACAATAGGTATGGGGGACCTGTGGCCCTCCACATATTGCTGGACTACAACTCCCATAATATCTGACTAATAGCCAATGCTGGTTGGGGGTGAAGGGACCTCGAGTCCAGGAAGGCCTGGGAGGTCACAGGTTCCTTGCCCCTACTATACAGTGTGACCAATTAATGATGTTTGAAAACTGATGGGGCTTCACCTGCAAATTTATCGTCCACAGGAGAAACAAGTCTTGGGTAGCTATATTAGCACACAAAGTCAATTTTCCACTTACCAAATTCAGATCAAAAACTAAAAGGGGGAAAACAATCACTCATAAAGGCCTTAAACTAATTGACTACACAAAATAATTTACTTGCCAACAGTGAAGGCCAGCAATAATACTTTTTTGCAAGGAAGGCCAGAGGCTTCAGGTAAAACTTTGCATATATGTCCAGCGACAAATGTGGCCAAACAGGGGGAAAGTATTCAAGCAATTGCAATCCATGTAGTGAAACTGCTCAAGGAATCATTACTAGTCTCTGCAAGCTGAGGTTATCAGAGGTCTCCCCCGGTGCTGGAACTGAGAAATCCAGATTCATTATTTTATTCCCTCAAGACGAAAATTCAGTAGGAAGAAAACATTAAAAAAATAAAAATGTCAGAATCAGTTTCAAATTAATTGGATGTTCCACTCTCACTTGGGGGGGGGCACATTTGCCAACACCCAAAGGGATGGGATGGAGGGACAGGGCACAAGTTGCTCTCAAAAGAGACCAAAATGCTTGGACAATCACAAAGCAACATGTTTTAGTTGTTACATTTCTGCAAAGAAAGTGGGGTTGCCATTACTGTTGGAAATTTTTTACTGTGGGCATGAGGTAATGTTTTGTTGTTTTCGCTTGCTGTGGCTCTTTTTTTGTGACAAATGCATCTTTCACAGAGAACAGAAATGTTATGGTGACTCAATCTAAATGTCAGGCATTTGGCCTGATTTAATATAACGGGGTGTTGCTTTTGCTTTTGAAGTTTGAGCATCTGAGGTATCTTTCAAATGTGTCCAGAAGATGGTTAGAAAGGCCTGTGGGTGGTGGCAGCCTGTTGACTTGATAGGGCTGAAAGTGCTGTTTTCATCACAACAGGTACTTGTACCTCATTTATTTATGGAAAGTGTGCCATTGCACACTGGTAGTCAAGCATCAGCCTCTATGTGCTCCAAGCGACAATTATAGAAAGTCTACTGGTGTTTGCACTAGACCCATGAAAAGGTCCGTAGGTCAACACTAATAGGCCATTTTTAAAATTAACAACCTGTCTGGTTTCTCTGTCTAGTGTGATGAATCATGTCACTCTGCCCACTTTCGGCTCCAGTGGTACTTATAGAAGAGCAGCCTGTTTGTTTATTTCTCGCCACACCTCCCAAAAGACCTCTTTCTGTAAATCTCTGGGATTCAGCTTCATGGAGAACATAATTTCTGATCTATTGCATCTATTGCTACTTCCACTGCTTCCCGAAATTTGTATGAGCAGAACAGTTGTCTTTTTTACCAATGTGCTCAAATGAGTCACTTTCAGGGGGGTGGGGAATCTGTAACATATTATCAGGTGCAACTGCATCCCCAAACCATCACTCACAGGGTCATTCGGGCGACTTTTCGTGAACATCCAACCATAATTTAATTCAGTTTGTTGTACATGTTTAGAGAAAATGCAGTGGGCATCATAGCAACTGCTGTCATAAGATAGTTTGAGAAATATTCTATATTTTCAAAAATGAGAAATCAGCTATTGTGTGTATCTTTATCCCATCACCCTGAGGTTTCCCCAGAAACATAGGACAGGGAATAAATTTTGTTTGGTTTGAATTCTAATGCAAACATACCTGAATTTGGATCCCTCCCTCCCTTGTGGGCCCACTTAGAAACATGTTTGCTTTTAATATGTGAATGATTCTTTGGTGCTCACAGTGGACCTTGATGGAAGACTTTTATGTACTAATGGGGCTAAGGAAGAGCGAGAACAGTGCAGATCAAATATTAGGAAATTCCTTCACATAGCAATAATATTTTGAGGAAGAGAACAACTTGTTTGTAGAAACTGTAAAGTTTCTGCTACTGGGAGTGCTTCTGAGAAGAAAGTTTTAGATATATGGTTCCATTTCTCAGAGGAGAAGACAAGACTAGATAACTTCGGGAGTGACCTCCAACTTTAGTTTTCTATAATTCATCTTAACAATCGCTTTGGCTTCTCAAATGATTCACTAATAACCTCCAGATCTGTCAGTCTTACTTATTTCCCAAAGGGCCTGGAGGTTTTATGTCATTGCTCTTCACCTCCATCATAAAGCAAGGCACATTTTCTGTATTTTACCTCAGAACAAGCTCAACCATTCTTGCTGGTCATTGACCGTATTAAAGATATTTGATTTGAAAAGCTCAACCATTGTTTCAGATCTCACTCTACTTTTGTTAGTACCATGTTCTCCCTCCAACTGCCCCCTCCCACAAAGGCAAAATATGTTGTCAATTATTTTACTCACACAAACCAATAGACATATGGATGCGTGCCCAAATTACCTTAAACTAATAATTATACTTTAATAAGGTCTGATTTAACTCAAGTGCACTGAGTTTGCATTTCCAGCATTTTGTTTGTTAGGTAATTGTCTGTAGTTCTGTTAATTAGTACATGTTAGATTATGCATTGATTACTTTTCTGTTTAGGCAATTAAAACAAGTTAAGGGGAAAAAACACATTAACTTTTAT